GACATACATACACAAATACAAACCCAGCCCTATGATTGGGCGTAACAAAAACGTTGGAGTTAAAGAAATTATGTACATTCAACCGTAGACAAAAAAATTAAAGTACGAGCCAACATCTTAACAAAACTTCACAAAAGTGTAAGTGGCTTCATCTAGGGCCTGGACACACAGAGGTTGACAAAAGAGAACGGGCGTCATGGGTTAGGACTGACCTCCTGGTTGGTTACCTACCGAAGCAGACATAACATAGAGTGAGCCAGGCTTAGTGAATAATAGTACCTAAACAATTCGATGCTCAACTTAAATTATAATACATATCAATGCGTATGCAAATGCAGAAATCATGTGGTTAATCTGATTCTGTACTAATTTCAGAACGGCCTTAGGCCCAGTCTTTAAACAGAATGGCTTTAAGCCCTTGAACAGAGTGGCATTGAGCCCTTAACCAAAGTGGCATTAAGCCTTTAAACAGAGTGGCATTAAGCCCTGTCTTGTATGTATGAACTCAAGAGGTGTCTCGCAAGGATTCTAGAGGTGGCTCACATTGCAGCACTTAGTTCCGTACAGCACTTTGTTTCATTCCATAACGGATTATACCGAATGGCCATAGGCCTAACAGAGTTTACAGATTGGCCATAGGCCCAGATATCATCAGAGCAGACTAATTTCGGAGTCTTACAGAATTCCAGAGTCATATGAAAGTATTTTCATCATTTCCATCATTCATTCAAATCCTTTCAATCATTCATATAAATCCTTTCAATCATTCATATAAATTACATAATTGACATGTGATAACCGAATGCTAATGGTAATCATTAGCTGTAAGTAAAGCGTACTATGACGGTACTACTACTCACAGTGTTGTGGCGGAGCGTTGGTTCCTCCCGGAGTGTGTCCTGCACACACACGTAACTCACAAATTAGTTCCTTTCTTTGTTGAATTAGTTTCGGACTAGCCTTGCTTCGAATGAATTTACAACCATAAAAAAATTACCAAATGCAGATTTCAACAATATTAGAGGGTCCAGCACGTAAAACAGAGCAATCCATCTATTTCAGCACGAGCTGCACGTGCGGCTGTGAGCCCAGCACGTGCGGCAAGGGTCCCCGCACGTGCGGCAGTGATGCCCCGCACGTGCTTTTTAAGCAGTAGCCAAGCCCCAGATTTTCACCATTCTCTGCACGTGCGGCCATGACCCTCGCACGTGCGGCAAGGGTTCCCGCACGTGCAGCAATGACTCCCGCACGTGCGGCGATTTGCCTCATTTTCCAGTCCAAAATTCCCATAAAACCCATCTTATGGTAAGCTTTTCTAAGGCTTAAAATAGGCCTCTTAATTGATGTAACATGGTTCAAAATTTATGTAAAAGACATTTCAAGCATGTATCAATTTCAACATGAATTGATTCTTCAATTCCTCACAATTCATAAACACAAGTTGGACACTTTGAATCCCTTCTATATAATTACCAAATACATACACAATCCTTCAAAGCCATAAATGAGTTCAAATATGTGAAGGTAAGGAATAGAATGATAAGGAATACAATGATAAAAGATAGAATAAACTTCTACTCCCTATAACTAACTTAACCCCAAATCAATTACATGATAACACATCTTTTAATTTAACCAACACACACCCTAGGTTGCATGATTATCAATTGATTCAAATAAAAGTCACATACCTGGAGCTCTCAACCTTACAATCTTCTAGATTTCCCCAATTCCTAGCTTGAAGGACTCCTCCTCTCCAATTCTTCCCTTCCCTCTCTCTCAGGATATTTTATGAGATGAATTCCCAAGTCAATGGTTAAAGAGCATGGATATTTACATATATAAAGTGAATAAGATGAAAATCAATCAATTTAATCATTCCTAATCAAAATTTCACAGAAAATCTTTTTAAGAACTAAAAATCATGCTGACTTCAAATGTAAAATCAATTTCAGATAATTAAGCCTCTAAGGCTTCCAATTTCTGATTCAAACATTCCAATTGTGACAAATATTTTTCTTATTAAACAGATATGCATTCATAGTCATAGGATTCGCTTGAATAACCTTAATTTCTCATAGAATTTCACAGTAAGCATTTAAAAACACAGAATAGGGACTGAAAATATATTAGAATCGTATACGAGGGTCGGGTTATTACACTCTCCCCCCCTTAAATAAGTTTCGTCCCTCAAACTTGCTTTACCTCAAAACGGAAACAGATGCGGGTATTGTTGTCGCATATCCTCTTCTTTTTCCCAAGTAGCTTTGGTTCCGTAATGTTCTTGCCATTCCACTTTTACCATTGGAATTTCTCGATTGCGTAACTGTTTCACTTGCCGATCCAGAATTCGAAGTGGTTTTTCTTCATAACTTAACTTATCATCTAACACAATTTGGTGGTAATCTATGACATGAGACGGATCCGAAAGGTATCCCCGAAGCATGGAGACATGGAACACGTTGTGTACTTGACTCATACTCGGTGGAAGGGCCACTCGGTAAGCTACCGGACCCACCTTTTCCAGGATTTGAAAGGGACCAACATACCGGGGTGTTAACTTACCCCTTTTCCCGAATCTCGGATGTCCTTTCATTGGGGTGACTTTCATGAACACATGACTATCCACTTTAAATTCCAAATTCCTTTGCCGGTTATCCGCATAACTCTTCTGCCTACTTTGAGCAGTTTTCAGTCTTCCCCGAATAATCTTAACCTTTTCAGTCATCAATTGAACAATTTCGGGCCCAAGCAATGATCTATCTCCGATCTCGGCCCAACACACAAGGGAACGACACGGTCTTTCATATAGAGCCTCGTAGGGTGCCATTTCAATACTTGAATGGTAGCTATTATTGTATGCGAATTCTATCAACAGTAAATGGGTTTCCCAACTTTCTTGAAAATCTAGCACACACATTCGGAGCATATCCTCTAGAGTCTGTATCGTTCTCTCGAATTGACCGTCAGTCTGAGGATGGAAAGCTGTGCTGAACTTTAATTCTGTACCCATAGCTTCCTGCAGACTTTGCCAAAATCGCGAAACAAATTTTGGATCCCTGTCCGACACAATTGACACTGGAATACCATGAAGTCTCACAATTTCATTAACATAGATCACAACAAGTTTATCTGTATTATATTGAGTCTTCACAGGCAGAAAGTGAGCGGACTTAGTTAATCGGTCCACAATGACCCATATAGAATTCATACCCCGAGGAGTCCGTGGTAATCCTACTACGAAGTCCATGGTAAGATGTTCCCACTTCCATTCTGGGATTGGAAGGGGTTGCAACAATCCTGCTGGTCTCTGATGTTCTGCTTTTACTTGCTGACATTGCAAACATTTAGAGACGAACTCTGCGATCTCATTTTTCATACTTGGCCACCAAAAATTTTGTTTCAAGTCCCGATACATTTTAGTACTTCCCGGATGCATTGAAAATCTTGAGGCATGTGCTTCTTCCATCAGTTTCCATTTAAGTTCCAACACATTGGGGACACATATTCGGTTTTGAAATTTGAGCACCGAATCCACTAAACTGAACCCCAGTTTTGGTTTTATCTCTAATTCCTCACATATCTTCCTTAGAGTTTCATCTTCCATTTGACGTAACTTGATCTCCTTAAGTAAGGTTGGTTGGGCCATTACTGCTGCTATTATAGCCTCTTGTTCACGTATCATGAGATCCACATTCATTTTATCCAGTTCATTTCCCAACTCCTTTTGCTCTGTAAACAGGTTTGTCAAAACCCCCATATTTTTCCGACTAAGTGCATCTGCAACCGTGTTGGCTTTACCAGGATTGTAATGGATTTGTAAATCATAATCTTTAATCAGATCTAACCACCGTCGCTGCCGCATATTCAATTCTTTCTGAGTAAAAAGGTACTTGAGACTCTTGTGATCGGTATAAACTTCGCAAGTAGTGCCATACAAATAATGCCGCCATATTTTCAAAGCAAAAACTACCGCTGCTAGCTCAAGATCATGTGTGGGATAATTCTTTTCATGGGATTTAAGCTGTCGAGAGGCATAAGCGATAACTCTTCCATTTTGCATAAGTACACAACCAAGTCATTTATGCGAAGCATCACTGTAGGTTACAAACCCTTCAGTACCGGATGGTAAGGTCAGAACTGGTGCTGTAGTCAACTTTGTTTTCAATTCCTGGAAAGCAGATTCCCATTCTTCTGACCATTCAAATGTAACTCCCCTTTCGAGTCAGTTGTGTAAGCGGCATAGCGATTTTGGAAAAACCTTGAACAAACCTCATGTAATATCCGGTTAATCCCATAAAACTACGCACCTCAGTCACATTGGTAGAAGTTGGCCAATTCACGATCGCCTTAATTTTGTGTGGATCAACAAAAACTCCTTCTTTTGTTATAACATGCCCTAGAAATGCCACCTCTTGTAGCCAGAATTCACATTTCTTCAGCTTTGCATACAATTTCTTCTCTCGAAGTGTTTAAAGGATTATACGAAGATGATTCTCATGAGCCTCTGCACTTTTTGAGTATATAAGAATGTCATCAATAAATACTACTACAAACTCATCCAAATAGGGTTTGAAAACACGATTCATCAAATCCATAAACGCTGCTGGTGCATTAGTAACTCCAAAAGGCATAACCAGAAATTCGTAATGGCCATATCGGGTCCGAAAAGCTGTCTTCTCAACATCATCAGCTTTGACCTTCAATTGGTGGTATCCGGATCGTAAATCAATCTTCGAAAAGACTTGTGCCCCTTGTAGCTGGTCAAATAAATCGTTGATCCGTGGCAATGGGTACTTATTCTTGATTGTCACTTTATTAAGCTCTCTATAGTCTATAAATAATCGGAGTGTTCCGTCTTTCTTTTTCATAAACAGAACTGGTGCACCCCAAGGCGACACACTCGAGCGAATGAACCCCTTATCAAGTAAATCCTGCAACTGAGTCTTTAATTCCTTCATTTCAGCTGGTGACATTCTATATGGAGTCCTAGAAATAGGTTAGGTTCCCGGTATCACTTCAATGGTAAATTCAATTTCACGGTTCACTAACTCCCCTGGTAATTCTTCCGGAAAAACATCTGGAAATTCACAGACAACTGGAATCATGTCGGTACTTCCGCCCATCACCTGCCCTTCCAAAATACTACATAAATACCCTTGGCACCCTTTCCGAATGAGTTTACAAGCCTTTGCTGCAGAGATCAAATATGGTGGAGAGGTCACTCCCTATCCCTGAAAAGTAGACTCTGATTGCCCCGGAGGGTGGAAACTGATTTGTTTAGTCAAACAGTCTATAGTTGCACCATGTTCACTCAACCAATCCATTCCCAGCACAATATCGAAATAAGTCATGTTGAGGGGTAACAGATTGGCAAATACCCGGACGTCTCCCAGTAGGAGTTCACAAGCAAAGTATACAGAAGTACAGATCATAGGGTCTCCCAAAGGTGAAGACACACATAATATATAAGACAATTTTTTCTCAGATTTATCTAAATTTGGCGCAAATAATTTTGACACAAAGGAATGGGTAGAGCCAGAATCAAATAGCACATGAGCAGAATGACCATAAACAATAAATGTACCTGACACCACCGTTGCCGCATTTTGCACATCTCCCAGGACCAATGCAAACACCCTGCCTTGTCTTGCAGTGTCTTTGTTGTTAGTAGATTTGGCAGTTGGCTTAGTATTGGGAGCTGGTGTAGACCCCGCTGAACTGGTAGCAGCCCTATTGCCATTTTGTTGGTTCCTCTGAGGGCAATCCCTTATCAAATGACCCGTTTTGCCATACCTAAAACAAGCTCCAGACTTCCGATAGCACGTTCCACGATGCTTCTTTTCACATTCTGAACAAATAGGAATTGAATCCTGACTAGGGGTAGAAGTATTTGAAGTCCCTGAATTCTGTTTCTTGTTAGGTGGAGCAGATGACCCCCTTGATAATTGATTATTCTGCCTCTTTCCCTTCCATTCAGAAATCTGACTCTGAGCAGCAAGGTTTCCCTCTGCTATCACAGCCCTTTCTAACACATCGACATAGGTAGGTAACTTTAACATGTTGACTTTGTCCAGGATTGCACTCCGTAATCCCCCTTCAAATTTTCGTGCCTTTTTATAATCCGTATCCACCATATGAGGTGCAAACCGAGCCAATTCCGCAAATTGAGCTTCATACTCTGCTATAGTCTTGTTCCCTTGTCTGAGAGTTTCAAATTCTGTCACCTTCTTATCTCGTATACTTTGAGGAAAGTACTTATCATAAAACAGCTCCAAGAATCTGTCCCATGTTACTCCCGGGAGCATCCACCACCTCTGTGCCTCATCTTCGAGAGTGAAGGCAGCAAGTTGCACCTTTTGGGCTTCAGTACAAGGGAAAACTTCGAACAACTTTTCTATTCCCAACACCCATGCCTCAGCTTTCATTGGTTCTATTCCTCCATTAAACAATGGCGGTTTCATCTTTTTAAACTCCCTTGTGAGTGTAATGGCTCGGTCCTTAGCTTGAAAATCTTGTACAACAAGTGGAGGTACCGGTGGTGGTGGCGATTGTGGTGGTGGCTGTTGCTGCTGTTGTTGCCATAAAGTTTCTGCCATTTCCATAATCATTCTTTCCATTATGTCCAACCGTGCAGAAGTAGCATCCTTTGGGTCTTCTATCCTTGTTCTCACCATAGTCTACATAACAATCAATTATAACAAGCACCAGAGATATACAATAGACAAGATTCAAAATCGTTAGCGTTAGCGGAATACATTTAACGTTGCCATCGATCTTTTCGTATACTTTCACAATGTTATGCATGATGCCTAAGTCTTTTCTAGACATCCTAAGGCTCAATGGATCCGTGTGTGAGATAGCAACTTGTGCTTTGATACCACTTGTCATGCCCCAAACTCGCCCCTAAAAGTTTGGGCATGACCTATTCAGAAACGGACATTTAACCTAATATACATAACACACTGGGCCTGAACGGAAGCATTAAATACCATAAAATATTATAAACAATCTCTATTGAGCAATCACTATTATGCCAGGATCACAACATCATAACAAGTAAATAATATATAGAAACATGCACCTGAGCATTGGTGACATACATACACATATACAGACCCAGCCCTATGATTGGGCGTAACAAAAACGTTGGAGTTAAAGAAGTTATGTACATTCAACCTTAGACAAAAAAATTAAAGTACGAGCTAACATCTTAACAAAACTTCACAAAAGTGTAAGTGGCTTCATCTAGGGCCTGGGCACACAGAGGTTGACAAAAGAGGACGGGCGTCATGGGTTAGGACTGACCTCCCGGTCGGTTACCTACCGAAGCAGACATAACATAGAGTGAGCCAGGCTCAGTGAATAATAGTACCTAAACAATTCGATGCTCAACTTAAATTATAACACATATCAATGCGTATGCAAATGCAGAAATCATGTGGTTAATCTGATTCTGTACTAATTTCAGAACGGCCTTAGGCCCAGTCTTTAAACAGAATGGCTTTAAGCCCTTGAACAGAGTGGCATTGAGCCCTTAACCAAAGTGGCATTAAGCCCTTAAACAGAGTGGCATTAAGCCCTGTCTTCTATGTATGAACTCAAGAGGTGTCTCGCACGGATTCTAGAGGTGGCTCACATTGCAGCACTTAGTTCCGTACAGCACTTTGTTTCATTCCATAGCGGATTATACCGAATGGCCATAGGCCTAATAGAGTTTACAGATTGGCCATAGGCCCAGATATCATCAGAGCAGACTAATTTTGGAGTCTTACAGAATTCCAGAGTCATATGAAAGTATTTTCATCATTTCCATCATTCATTCAAATCCTTTCAATCATTCATATAAATCCTTTCAATCATTCATATAAATTACATAATTGACATGTGATAACCGAATGCTAATGGTAATCATTAGCTGTAAGTAAAGCGTACTATGACGGTACTACTACTCACAGTGTTGTGGCGGAGCGTTGGTTCCTCCCGGAGTGTGTACTGCACACACACGTAACTCACAAATTAGTTCCTTTCTTTGTTGAATTAGTTTCGGACTCGCCTTGCTTCGAATGAATTTACAACCATAAAAAAATATCAAATACAGATTTCAACAATATTAGAGGGTCCAGCACGTAAAACAGAGCAATCCATCTATTTCAGCACGAGCTGCACGTGCGGCTGTGAGCCCCGCACGTGCGGCAAGGGTCCCCGCACGTGCGGCAGTGATGCCCGACACGTGCTTTTTAAGCAGTAGCCAAGCCCCATATTTTCACCATTCTTTGCACGTGCGGCCATGACCCCCGCACGTGCAGCAATGGTTCCCGCACGTGCGGCAATGACTCCCGCACGTGCGGCGATTTGCCTCATTTTCCAGTCCGAAATTCCCATAAAACCCATCTTATGGTAAGCTTTTCTAAGGCTTAAAATAGGCCTCTTAATTGATGTAACATGGTTCAAACTTTATGTACAAAGACATTTCAAGCATGTATCAATTTCAACATGAATTGATTCTTCAATTCCTCACAATTCATAAACACAAGTTGGACACTTTGAATCCCTTCTATATAATTACCAAATACATACACAATCCTTTAAAGCCATAAATGAGTTCAAATATGTGAAGGTAAGGAATAGAATGATAAGGAATACAATGATAAAAGATAGAATAAACTTCTACTCCCTATAACCTAACTTAACCCCAAATCAATTCCATGATAACACATCTTTTAATTTAACCAACACACACCCTAGGTTGCATGATTATCAATTGATTCAAATAAAAGTCACATACCTGGAGCTCTCAACCTTACAATCTTCTAGATTTCCCCAATTCCTAGCTTGAAGGACTCCTCCTCTCCAATTCTTCCCTTCCCTCTCTCTCAGGATATTTTATGAGATAAATTCCCAAGTCAATGGTTAAAGAGCATGGATATTTACATATATAAAGTGAATAAGACGAAAATCAAACAGTTTAATCATTCCTAATCAAAATTTCACAGAAAATCTTTGTAAGAACTAAAAATCATGCTGACTTCAAATGTAAAATCAATTTCAGATAATTAAGCCTCTAAGGCTTCCAATTTTTTATTCAAACATAACAATTGTGACAAATATTTTTCTTATTAAACAGATATGCATTCATAGTCATAGGATTCGCTTGAATAACCTTAATTTCTCATAGAATTTCACAGTAAGCATTTAAAAACACAGAATAGGGACTGAAAATATATCAGAATTGTATACGAGGGTCGGGTTATTACAGTAATGGTAAGAGCCATGTGCTTATACTTACTTGTTTTCAAAGTCTTCAACACTTTGTTCTTTTATTCGTTCTAACGTTTGTTTTCCTTGCAGCTCTTCCCCAGCCGGCAAAGGATTTCCGCAAGTCCTTTTTCCCGAGCAAAGGCTTGAAAAAGCTGTTAGACCTGCCAGTTCACAAGCGGAGAGCCCCCCTACTACATAACTTCATCCCGACTGACAAGTCGGTTCTTCCCGACATTCCGAAGAAGAAGAAGAGCAAGTCTCCTCTGTCCGCCACCACACCTCCGACAACTTCATCATCTCGGCCAGATCAGGGATCAACCTCTGATCCAGCTGAGCTACCATCAACTTCGACTCCATATCTGATCCCTTCATCTCAACGCCGACGAAGACGCTGAACTGTAATCGCCGTTGAGATGGGCCTCAAAAAAGCAGTCGCAGAGGATCTTTTGGCCGACATCCCTACCACCGTTGACGCTCAACCAGCACCATCTCAGTTTCAACCAAAGGCTTAGCCAAAGGCAACAGTGACTCAGATTGATACAGAGGACACCTTGCCAATTTCAAAATTGGCTGAGAGTGAAAAGACCACTTCCGCCGCCGAGAAAAGGCCCGCCGAGGCTGAACCATCCCATTCCACTCGGTCAAAAAGGCCAACGTCTGAGTCGGCCACAACCTCGGGGCCAATGCAGCCAGATGCCCCCTGGCCCCTCCGATCACCATCGATGACAAGCGGTCAGAGCTGGCAATAGTGCGACTAATCTCGAAGTCGGCGTCGCTCTTTCTACGGCTTTGCTCCTTCCAAACGATCTTAACCGAAACGCCGAGATGAGCGAGTATGAAAACTTCACTCTGATGCTCCAGTATTCTGTTCAAGTAAGTCTCTTACACTTGATATTTTTCTTTCTCTATTCTTGCATACTTTTAGAACTTCTACTAACTTATTTTTCTGTCCATTTTCTTTCAGGCGATCCAGCACGCCCACTCCTTCTCAATGCAAGCTTTTGAAATGAGGAAGGAGTTGGCTGACAACATTAGGGAGGTCTCTGGTTTACAAAAGACCATCAAAAAGACTGAGGCCAAGATGAAAACTTTATCCGACCAGGCTGCGGTGGCCATTAAAGCTAAGGATCAGACCGAGGAAAAGGCTGATGCTGCCGAGGCCATTGCCAAGGTCCTTACGGCCGAAAAGATCGAGGCCAAAGAAAAGATGGTCGAGGCCCAAAAGGAGCTTCAAGTTGCCTTGGCCACCAAAGAGGCCGAGATCAAGGTTGCTGATGAAAAGGCGTACACTGAGGGGGCGGCCGACGTCAAGGAGGACTATAAGAAGTAAGTGAGGCAGGCATGCAACAAGGGTTTCACCCTTGGTTGGATGGCTGTCCTTAAAAAGATAGATGTCCCTGAGGACTCCCCCCTCAAGAATGCCGGCGACCTCCCCTTGCCATTCCCCCCTACTCCAAGCCAATCCGAAGACGATTCTAAGTCTGAGGAGGAAGCTCTGGTCAGGAAGACGAAGGAAGCTGCTGCCAAATCTCCTACTCTGAATGAGGAAGTCTTGGACTTGACTCAGGATAAGGAATATGAGGTCTCCAAAGATGCTCCTCCTAAGAACGTAACCTTGGACGCACCTATTGCCGACAAGAGCCTCGACCAAACTCTTCAAGAAATCGATGTCGAGCTCATGGCTGAGAGGGCCACCGAGATGTCTTCTCAACTGTCTTCTGAACTCCAGACCCAACCAGCCAGAGACACCGAAGAGTCTTAGCTTTGATGTTTTTCTCCTTTCATCTGTTCCTTGTATTTTGATAATGTAAAGCTTTTAGCTAGCCGACGTGCCTTCTTTCGAATGTAAATGCAACTTCCTTTCTTTTGGGTGCTTGTATGTTCTTCTTCATACACCTTAACTGTGCAATCTTCTCGGGGTGATACACCTCAGTTAAACAAACCAACGCTTTTATCTCGGCAAGTACGCAAGTACTTTTTTTTTTGTTACAACCTTGGCTTAACTTGTAAATTTTTTTAAAAAATTTCAACAAGTGTTTAACCATGACCTCGATTTAACTTCAACTTGTAAATTTTTTTCGAATTTCAACAAGTGTTAAACATGACCTCGATTTCACCTTAACTTATAAATTTTTCTTAAATTTCAACAAGTGTTAAACATGATCTCGATTTAACTTTAACTTGTAAATTTTTCTTAAATTTCAACAAATGTTAAACATGACCTCGGTTTAACTTCAACTTGTAAATTTTTCTCAAATTTTAACAAGTGTTAAACCAATCTTCCAAGCATTATTTTCTAGCCCTCTGCCCCCTAATGTGAACCTAAATTCCACTTGGGTTCTCATTTAAGCCTGGGGCTTTGACCTTGTTACAGAGGTTATGTTCAAACAAAGACTGGCCAAGGTAACCAACCTCGGCCTCTGTGTTAATCTGACTGATATGTACTTAAGTCCAGGTTATCCCAACTTTGTTCAACTCTATTATATGCAAGTAAAAGTTCTACTCTGCCATATAATAAGTCTAAGTTATTCGTCAGGTTTCGTTTAAAAACATTGCTAACTTAGTTCAATTCTATTATATGCAAGTAAAAGTTCTTCTCTGTCATATAATAAGTCTAAGTTATTCGTCATGTTTCACTTAGAAACATCGCTAACTTAGTTCAATTATATTATATGCAAGTAAAATTTCTACTCTGCCATATAATAAGTCTAAGTTATTTGTCATGTTTTGCTTAGAAACATCGCTAACTTAGTTCAACTCTATTATATGCAAGTAAAAGGTCTACTCTACTATATAATAAGTCTAAGTTATTCGTCATGTTTTGCTTAGAAACATCGTCAAGTATCTGATCAATCACATCACACAAGTTTAAAGATCAAGCTAAAACTTTATTACTTCTGCTAATAACAAAAAAAAAAAAGAAAACTTAGAAAACAAGAAAATCTAGTGATAAAAAAATTTCAGATTGCAAGTATTCCAGGGTCTTGGCAATTCTTTGCCTTTACAGTCCTCAAGCCGATATGCCCCATTGCCTAAGACTGAGATGATTCTATAGGGTCTCTCCCAATCGGGCCAAGCTTGCCTTCTCTGGGATCCTTCTTGTTGCCGGCGACCTTTCTCAGGACGAGGTCACCAACTTGGAACTCTCGCGGGTTCACCTTCTTATTATAAGCCCTGGCAAGCTGCTGCTAGCATGCCCACAGCTAAATTGTTGTTTTCTTCCTTCTCTCTTCTAGCAGATCCAGATCTCGGGCTATAAATACATCATTAGTTCTATTCTCTACTCCCTGGGTTCTGATCCCTGGGATGCTGACCTCCAGAGGAATGACTGCTTCTGTGCCATAAGCCATGGCAAATGGGAATTCTCCAGTTGATCTTCTCGGCGTAGTCCGATAAGCCCAGAGTACACTTGGCAGTTCATCCGCCCACTTTTCCTTTGCTGCTTGCAACCTCTTCTTAATCCCATCCAAGATGACTTTGTTGGATGTTTCTGCATGTCCATTGCTTTGAGGAAACTTGGGGTAGAAAAATAATTCTTGATTTTGAACTTTGCACAGAACCTTTTGATTAGCTTACTGTCAAACTGTGTGCCATTGTCAGCTATTATTGCTCTTGGGATTCCAAACCTGGTGACGATGTTCTTCCATATGAAGTTCTTCACATCAACGTCCCGAATCTTGGCAAGGGGTTCAGCCTCTACCCACTTGGTGAAGTAATCTATTGCTACCAGCAAGTACTTCCTTTGTCCAGTTACTTGGGGCAGTTTTCCAACAAGATCCATGCCCCATACGGCAAATGGCCAAGGGCTGGACGCTGGGTTCAAGTTTGCTGTTGGTTTGTGTATCAAGGGTGCAAACCTTTGGCACTTCTTGACATAGGTTTCAGCATCTTTCTACATGTAAGGCCACCAATACCCCTGTTTAATGGCCCTCTGAGCAAGTGACCTGCCCCCGGCGTGGCTTCCACATACTCCTTCATGTATTTCGTATAGAAAGTCTTCAACCTGTGCAGGATGCACACACCTCAGAAGGGATCCAGTAAAGGATTTTCTGTAGAGATGGCCTTCTGCTATCAAACTGAATCTTGCCGACTTTAGTCTAATCTTGTGCACTTCTTTACGGTCGTCTGGCAATTTTCCTTCTTTAAGGAATGCTACTATTGTATTCATCCAACTTGGTCCCATCTCCACACACATTGCTTCACGCTTTGTGCTCAGTGGTTCTATACTTGGACCTGACAAGTAGTCAACCATTATTGTTCTTGCCTCATCAGGCTTCATTGCACTAGCCAGGTTGGCCAGAGCATTGGCATGGCTGTTGTCATCTCGGCTTACCTGCTGTAGTCGGCAATTTTGAAATAAGGCTATCAGTATGCCTACTTCATTTGCGTAAGCCGACATCCGTTCATCTCGGGTTGCAAATTCCCCTGTTGCCTGATTGACTATAAGCTGGGAGTTACAAAAGACTGTTACCTCATCGGCTTCCATGGCTACTGCCAGCTTTAGTCCTGCGATCAGCGCTTCATACTCTACTTCATTGTTTGAGGCCTTAAACCCCAAACGAATGGATTATTCCAGTATCTGCCCATCTGGCGATACTAGTACTACTCCTGCCCCCGCTTCTTGTCGGTTTGAACTCCCATCCATAAACAACCGGAAGGAGTCACTGATGTAAATACTGCAAGGCCTGAGTTTCTCTTTGTTCCTTTGCTCTGTTGTCCCTTGCTGGGTTTTTTCTTGCTCACCTGGACATCGCACACCTTGGCTCAACGGTGCCGGATGTGTGATGGAACCTGGTGTGAACTCGGCCACGAAGTCGGTCAAAACTTGGCCTTTGATTGCTGTTCTGGGTCTGAATTCCAAGTCATATTGGCCCAAGGCCACTGCCCATCTGGCTATTCTGCCTGTCAGATCTCCTTACTGCAACAAGGACTTCAAGGGGTGTTCAGTTAACACTACAATTTTGTGGGCTTGAAAGTAATGATTCAGTTTCTTGAAAGCCATTACTAAAGCCAGTGTTAACTTCTCTAAGGGTAGATATCTGGTCTCTACATCTGCAAGGGTTTTACTTACGTAGTAAATAGCCCTTTGTTCTCTCTTTTCTTCTCGAATTACCACTGCACTTACTGCATGTTCTGAAATTGCCAAGTATAAGAACAGCTCCTCTCCAGGTACTGGATTTGAGAGAACTGGTGCTGTGGTCAAATACTTCCTTAAGTCGGTCAAGGCGGCTTCGCATTCGTCGATCCATAAGAAGTCTGTGGCTTTCTTTACTAAGCTGAAGAAAGGCTTACATTTATCAGAACTTCTACTTATGAATCTGTTTAGGGCAGCAGCCCTTCCAGCCAACATCGGCACTTGTTTTGCTGATGTT